TGTGATTAACAGATAAGTCTCTCGTGTCAGCCAGTGAAAGGAACAAGATTCTACAGTTCAAGTAGATGGAGCAAATGTCTCTTAGTGAAAATGTGTCCTGCTACATAAAACAACTTGTTCTGCAGCAGTAATGGATTTAATTTCTCGTGCCCTTTCTGCCACAGGTTGACAACAAAGGCCGGAATTTCCTCCATGTGGCTGTTCAGAACTCAGACATCGAGAGTGTGCTGTTCCTGATCAGTGTCCAGGCAAATGTGAACTCCAGGGTCCAGGATGCCTCCAAACTGACCCCTCTCCACCTGGCAGTCCAGGCTGGCTCCGAGATCATCGTGCGCAATCTGGTACGTGCTGGAGTCGCTTTTCCTCTGCTTAAAAATGCACGTTGTGGCTTAACACACAGTGCCTGTAACCTGGAGAAGGCACCTGAAGGTGACACCACTTTTTCTGAAACAGAAAGTTCCCTTAGTTTGTGCTGTTGCTGAGCTCCCCCAGGTTTGCAGCAATCCCTGGGCAGACTCACCTAAAGAACCTTTCCCTTGCCCTTTCTACGCATTTGAACACAAACACAAGTTGCAGCAGCTCAGTAATGACAGCATTTTATATGTGCTGGAGGCCCTGCAGTATCTCTGTGCAGTGGAGTCTTGTGTGCTTCATTCACAGAAGTAAAGAAATAGCCCTGGAGGCATCGCTGACCGTGTCCCTTTTGCACCCTGACAGCTGCTGGCAGGGGCCCAGGTGAACGAGCTGACCAAGCACCGTCAGACTGCCCTTCACTTGGCAGCACAGCAGGACCTGCCCACCATTTGCTCAGTCCTTCTGGAGAATGGAGTGGACTTTGCAGCTGTAGATGAAAATGGAAATAACGGTAAATGTCAAGTTACACAAGTCAGTGCAAACACTTCAGTAGGTCTGGGGGTGGGGAGAGCCCACTGACAGGGCTTGTTCTGCAGAGGTGGAACAGAATGAAGGTCCAAGAAATCAGAGGTTTTGAGAGGGAAGATGGGAGAAGTGGAAGGGGGGGTTGTTAATCTATTTATTAACTGCAATTATTGCTGACATTCAGAGTCTTGGACCTTGTTTTGTTTTGACTTTTCAGCTCTTCATCTGGCAGTGATGCACGGCCGGCTGAACAACATCCGGGTCCTCCTCACAGAGTGCAATGTGGATGCAGAAGCCTTTAATATCAGGTAATTATTTATAGTCTTGAGACTAAAAGAACCACATTCTGTTTTAAAATGTATGATTACATGACTGGTTTAAAAAATCAACAAGGATTTGGCTTGTATTATAATATTTATACACAAATTCGAGTGAAATGTGCAGATGATGCTGTGGAAATTATATGTATACACTAAGAAAAGGAAGTTAAAGTAGGCAGTTGAGATAAGCTCAGTTGGTTAGAGCATGGTGCTGATAACACCAAGGTTGTGGGGCTGATCCCTGTATGGACCATTCATTTAAGAGTTGTACTTGATGATCCTTCTGGGTCCCTTCCAACTCAGAATATTCCGTTTATGTGGTACTGAGTTACTGAGGTAATGGTTTAAGTCTGAACCAAACTTGAAAACAAGGAGAGTTGGATGAGGAACTGCAGTAGCAAGCAGACTTTGATCAGGATAACAAACTCTTTTCCCCAGAGGCCAGTCACCAATGCATATTTTGGGACAATATGGGAAAGATAATGCAGCAGCCATCTGTGACCTCTTCTTGGAGTGTATGCCAGAGTACCCTCTAGACAAACCTGATGCTGAAGGAAACACAGGTGGGTGAGACTCAACAGCTGTTGAATTTGAAAACCACTCAAGTTGTATTCATGGTATGTCACTTTTAAAGCTGGAATAATTGGCAGTAATATGTTAAATACAATAAGATGCAAACATTGCACAGAAACTTAAAAACTAAAGATGCTGCTCTGCACTGAGGGTACCACAGCCCACCACTCTGCTAGCAGGGAACTGGCTTTTATTTTTCAGTGCTGCTCTTGGCTTACATGAAGGGAAATGCCAACTTGTGTCGTGCAATAGTGAGAGCTGGAGCTCGGCTTGGAGTCAACAACAACCAGGGAGTCAACATCTTCAACTACCAAGTTGCTACAAAACAGCTTCTCTTTAGGCTGCTGGGTGAGTACCACTGGCTGCAGTGGGAAAGTGTTTTTAGCTTATGCTTCTGGGATACTTCAGTGAAGGAAAGAACTCTGGACACCTGACTTAGATGACAGTAGTTCCAGACAGGCTGAACTTGTGAATTTTATACTACTTTCAGTGGGGGGGGTAGGAATACTATTTTTTCTCACAATCAGCTGAGTAGTTGTACAATGCAGACCTGTCAAACTTAAATATTGCTTTTCCTGGAAGGATAGACATGGAAACTCCTGGCTGGGTGTGTAGTCTGATATAGCTTAAAACCCAGACACTGCTTTTTAACTGCTGCTGTGTAGTTGCTGTGGGTAATGTGATGATGTTGAAAGCAACTAAACATTGTCTACAACCAAGACTGCAAGAGTAGTTAGATCCATTGTGCTGGCTGCAACCTAAAACTGGACAAAGCCTCCTTAATATGTTTAGTGAACTCAAGAGGTGTCTGAGCCCATTTTGTCTTTACATTTTTGCCTCTAACAGATATGCTGACAAAAGAACCTCCCTGGTGTGATGGCTCCAACTGCTACGAATGCACTGCCAAATTTGGAGTCACGACAAGAAAACATCACTGGTAACGTGACCCATCTTGCTGTGCTTACAAGGAAAGATTCCTCTTCCAAATGTAGTTAGGCTTGTTCCACCTGGTGGTTTAGGGAACCTCCATGTTAATGCAGGTGTATAACCACTAATCCAGCTGAAACATTCCACCCTGTCTTAGATCAGTAACTTGTGGTCTGACTAAAATCCTATCTTAAGCAGTTTGTGCATTTAATATTCTGACTGGTTGTAAATGAGAAATCCTGTCCAAGTTCCAGTAGTAAAACAGGATTTAAATGCCCACGTTCAGTAGTTGTCATGGAAAGATTGATGCACTTCACTCAAAGGGAGAACAGTGTATTGTGTTGATAAAGGACAGTGAGTTAACAAAGTTCAGTGGTAAAGGTGGCAGTGGTTTAGCAAGACTTGATGGCAAGGTACACTTGATTATTTACTGTATAGAGGAATGGGTCAGACAAAACTGAGGCTCAGAAGACCCCTTGTGTTCCAAAGTCCTCACTGGGAGTTCAGGTGTGACTGGATCCAGACTTAGTCCCAGGCTTGGCCAATGGCTTATGTCTGAAGGATGATACATGTGCAATCAATCCTTTAGATCACTTAGCTAACATTCAAGGTTTCAGCACTTATTCCCAATTCACTTACTGAGTATCTGACACTCTCAGCCGTGAGTAACCTCGAGAGGTGTCCCAGCTCCAGGGGAGATCCTGGTGTGCAGCCCACTGCCACGCAGGAGAGCTCAACAGGCTGTTCACTACTTATGGAGCAAGATGATTGACTTGCAACTCTGTTTGTCCCCAGAGCCCAGCTTAGCCAGACACAGCCTTTGGGACAGCCCTCTGGCTGTTCTTTATCCAGGACAGGCAGGAGGGAGCACGCCAGCCCTGTGTGGGGCTGACCCGCTCTGAAACAGGAGAGAGATTTGGGCAGTTGTTGCCAGCTCAGCTTTGGGGTTCTGTTTGTAAGGGCTGAAAATGCTGACACGAGTTGCTCTTATGTAGATATGAGTTGCCTTTTTCAGCTAGTCTGAACTTCTCCAAACATGCTGGGTTAGAGGGAAGTTAAGCTAAGATTTTCTTAACCCAGTGTTCCAGGGAAACCACAGGTGGATCAGTTGAGGTTGTACCAGTTGACTGACCGGTACAGAAGCATCGTGTGGTTTTGGCATTAGTAAACTCTTCCATGAGAGATATCAGAAGATACAAGACAAACATAGCATTTCAGTTGGTACTGTCCATTTTAGTGATGACAGCATTGATAAAGAATGTCATAAAGACTACAATCCTGGTGTTCATTAGGAGTGAACTCACTTTTCTCCCACCCCTCTTCTCCCAACAGCCGACACTGTGGACGCCTGCTCTGCCATAAGTGCTCAACAAAGGAGATTCCCATCATAAAATTTGATCTGAACAAGCCAGTCCGAGTTTGCAACATCTGCTTTGATGTCCTGACTCTGGGAGGAGTCTCCTAGTATGCTGTGGAAGTAAAGGGATTCCCAGTCAGTGCTCCTGACAGCAGCTCTGCTTACAAGCCCTCTGGATAGGGAAGAGGAGGCCTATACATGTCTTCTGCAATAGACTGAACTAATTAAGGACCCTGTTATGATATACTCTGGTATAAATGACTTTGTATGACTGTAAATGTATCAGGCTGTGATAGACTTCACTAGGAATTCGAGTGGATCGTGGCAACCAAGTGACAAAAGAACTTAGACCCTCTTCTAGTTGCAGTGGGGTATGGAAGCTGAAATTTAGACTGTTTGAATCGATGCAAAACAGGTCTGTCCTTGACATGGTGCTTTGCACTGAGCAACTCTATTAAGTCCTGTGGCTTTCAGGCTGCTTAGTAGAGATGGCATTAAGTTTCAGGGTAACCAGGTATCTTTCTTTGCTTTGTCTTAAAGATAAATGTTCCCCTTCTCTAGAGAAGACTTCTTGTGAAGCTAAACTGAGCTGTTGCAACCACTGTTCATTTCAAGAAACTCTTCAAACCCGGGGTAGTTCTAAGTATAGCTCAAGAATTGTGGCCTTACAACAGAAAGCTTTACACCATCTGATGCGAAGCAGTCAGAATTGCAGACCCACATCTTGATACCTCCTCAGCAAAGTCTCATCAGCTTTAGCATGTTCAGAAGTGCAGGATTGCTTTAGGCAGTAAATGCTCTTGCTCATCCCTGCTAGAACTGTCAGTCTTTGTTGCACTTTCATTTTTACGTCGCTGGTCCTGCCAGTCCGGGGAACTTGTGCAAATGGCTGAGTTTGCTGAAAGGCCTGAGCATGTGCTAAAGGAGAAACACTAAACCTGGGCAAGTCAAACTCACAGTACAGCAATAAATGCTGAAGTGCATTAGGAATCCCGTGAGGGGGACAGTAGCACTTTGCTTGGTTTACAGAGCCTGGTGACTGCTGGGGGAGAGCCAGGAGCCCTGCCAGTGTAGAATGTGCTGCACCTCGAGACACTAAATTTGGGTCCATTTTCAGCAGGATTGCTGGTGAGTGGGACTGTATGTGGAGGCTTCCTATTAGGAGTAAGCTGCAGTATTTTAATCTAGGCTGGTCATGCTCTTTTAAACATGGTTGATCCGTGAAAACCCATCACCACGTTGTGCAGGTAGACGGGAAGGGACTTTCCCGGTAGACCAAGTTGTGATTTGATGGCCAAAGGCTTCAGTTAGGAAAAATGGGTACTTAAGCAAAACTACATGCCATGTTAAGGCTGTTTTTATCCCAAGAGATGAACGTAGTTTAGACTCAGCCCAGCATTCCTCATCTGTGCTCCATGAACTGGTGTGCATTGATGTAATGACTGTTATTTCCAGTGAACACATGGACAGTTGGTGACAGTGACTTGTCAGTCTTAAAGAGTCAGATGAGATGATAAACCAGACTGCTGCTGTAGGGGAGACTTGCTTGAGGTTGTTCTCAAACTTGTCCAAGGAGAGGAGAGGAGAGGGTGTAACTGCTGACGTTTGCACAATGAATTTCACGTCAAGTCTCACTTGATCTGCACTTTGATCTCCCAATATGCACATGTTGTAACTGGAATCACCCCTGTAACACTAGGAAGAGTAATGGGTGACAATACAAACTTGTCTCACTGTTTGATGTCTGCTGCTGTCCTGTTCCAACAGAATGCCCTGGGTAACACAGCTGGTCTCTTAACACAGTTACTAATCCAAATGGTGCATCTCTGGCATGATATTGTAAGTGAATGTGGGACTACAGTGGTGTCAGTTAATGTTGGTGACTGAACTAATGGTGTCAGTCAACTGCAAGCTACAGTCTGGGTTCTTTGAAATAGGTGATGGCAAACATTGTACTTTTAGTCCATTGCTTTCTGACGTTTCAGGGTGTCACTGGCTTTAAGTCTGTAGCAGTGAAAGTTAATGTGGAGAGAGTGAATTTGGTGAAAGAATCCTGCCTGTAGTGTGTCCCATGGGAACACGTTGACTTCCTTCTTGGTTTGGAGCTGCAGAGCTGTGGAGGGGTAAGTGTGTGCTCAGAATGCTTCCAGACACTGGTAGCACTGGTAGAGGAGTGGTTTTCCAAGGCCACAGCCTATGGACTTCAACTCAGTTGGAAAACTGCACAACATGTAAGTGCTAAAGCATTGAAACATCACTTTTTCAGTGACTTCTCTGGAAGGGGCAAAGGAACAGGGAGCTCAGCTCTAATAGAATAAGCAAGCTTTTAACTGATGGAAAAGTGTGGATGTGGTGAAAACTCAACTGAATGGCAAGTTTAAGGCTGGCTAGTTGCTCTTTTAGAAAGTAGAATATTAACTAAAACTGTGTAAAACTCTGAAAGATTTGGGAAACCATCTGTAGTGTTCCTGTTTTGCTGTTTACAGCTAGTACTGTCCCAGCTTTCTTACTGAAGTCTGAAATGACAGTTAAGGTTATTGATAAATGTACAGTCTGAAGTGTTCATTAAAGCAACTAAATTCAGCAAATTTGATCATTTTAAAGTGCCTTTGAGATAGTTTCCTTCCAGCCAACTCTGAATAGCTTTCTGCCAGAGCTAAAGGGGAAAAGCTCAACAACTTAAACCAAAACCCAAGTCAGTTCTTTTCTAGTTCAGCTGAGGAGGTTGACCCCACCAACAAGTGGTGGGACTCAGCCCATCACACACTCTGCCTAGTACTGGTCTGGGCTCTCAGACCTCTGAGGCTTTTTGGGAGTTTTGCTGGCAATGCTCCACTGCAGGGTACAAATGTGAACGAGGCACTTGGTAACACAGTGGTGGTCAACACATTTCGAACTCTAAACAACTGCTCTTCCCTTTTTGTAGCATTATACAGTGGTGACCAAACCCCCCACCCCCTTCCCCCTGCTGTCTTTTAGTGGTATCTATTAACTTCAGACTCAAGTCTGCCAAGCATTGAACAAAAGGGTAAATGGAGAACACAGTGGTGTCCCTGGAAGTGCTGCTGCCACACCAGGCTCCAGGCACTTCAGCAGGGCTGCCTGGGAAGTCTGGGTGGTTCGTGCTGTAGCTTTTTGTTCTGAGACTGGATTCCTTTTGATTGCAGTCACCCAGCACTCTTACACAAGCACAAAATGTGGTCTGAGATTTTGTGTCTCTGTACAAGGTGCAGTCACCGTTTCACACCACTGAGTGGAGTGAGAAGGTCAGTGTTCAAGGTACTCCAGAGTAAGTTGCTGGCTAAAAGCTGACATGCCTTAATGACTTCCTGTGCTGGAGATTAACAGCTTGTACAACTGCTCAGTAGTGCTTCTAAACTAACATGGAACAGTATGGGAGGCCAAGGCTGGATTGTTCTGTAGATCAAATGTTAATAGGCAAGTCCTCTCTTTTCTGTAACCAGCAGAGGTGGGTACTGCAGCAAACTTGTCTCTAGAAAAATCAAAGCTTGTACGAGTGACAGAAGTAACTCTGAACCTTCTAATACCCTCTGTGAAATAGAAAAGGAAGTCTTAGAACAATGGCATTTTATCTGCAATGTTTGTCTGGAGTCATTGTAAAAATGTATTTTTCCAATATGCATTACTTTGTTGTGTAATGATTCTACTTGTAATAAAATGCAGAACTAGACGATGCATCCTGAGGTGAAACCTTGCTAAGGACACATCTGCTCCTGGAGAGAGCTGTCCCCTCTGCCAGCTATCCTTCCAACCCACCAGGAAAACCAGGGATACAGCATCCAGTTGGGCATGACAGCTTTTATTCTTTGTTCTGAAATTATTCCAGGTGTTCATTTTCACGTGGAACTGCTACACTTTCTTTTGGCTGACAAGATCTGTAGTTTGTACCTATGTGAATGCCTCATACCAGACTTATGTGTAATCAGTGAAACAATCCAGCTCCCCCCAGGCCGGAGCTGGTTCCTGGAGTGAATCAGTTCAAGTGGCAGACACTTGGTGCACTCAGCTGTGTCCTGGGGGGCAGCCCAGCCCCTGGGAGGGCACAGAGCTGCTGCAGCTTCACTTCAGGAGCAGGAAAACCCCACTGCAACAGCAAAGCCAGCCAGGCCCCCGGGGTGCCACTGTGGTGCATTAGGCTTTTATTAATAAAACTTACTAAAGTCCAGATGGATGGTGAGCTTTATTAGAACACTGTGGTGACTTGTCCTCTCTCTATTGCTCTTTTCTTCCCACCCTTTTCCGCCATGGGAGAATCCAGGTGAGCTGCTCAATGGAAGTCCAAGCACGACACTCCTGGAGCACTTCAGGTCAGTGAGGGTGTCTCCCTGTTTGCTTTAATAGGTGACTTATTCCCAGTGCAAGACAAACTTTCCCCCCCGGTGATTCCAAACACTAAACTGAGAAATAAACTGAACTGGTTTTCAACCAACTTTAACTTAGAGCAAAATCCTCCTGCCCTGCCTTCCTGCAGGAGTTTGATTTTGGTGTAGCTCCTGCAATCAAAACCATCCCCTCAGCACTGTTGGTGTAGTGATGGAGTGTTACAGCAAGATCAAACTTGCTTAGAAGTTAGAGCTGGTCCACCTTCACTAGGCCTGACTTGCCCTCACAAACTACTTCTTACACTATTTAATAATATGGAATTTGCTGCAACGTTTAAATAGCTTTAGAAAGTTCCTTTAAAGGTATTCCAATCATCTTGGGGGATGGTTTCACCACTTTAACAAGAAAATGCATTTAAACAGGTGCTGTCTAAAAGCAAAGGCCATGCTGGCACTTCCCCTGCCCACAAGGTCCTGGAGGCAGTGAAGCTTTGCAGCTCTCTCCTGCACCTCTCACTCAGCTTCATCCTCAGGAGTGTTGTGTGAAAGGAGCAGTTCCACCCCCAGAGCTGGTTCAGTTCTGCCCCACATGTCCCACTCCCCCTGTCACTGGGAACAGCTGCCTGAAGTGCCTTGGGGGGCTTCTCAAGGTGATGGTGGAAAAGAAACACACCAGGATTAGGTTAAAACCCCCACAACTCCCCCTAAATCTCTATTACAACCAGCATTTACACGTTTAAGTTGCCCTGTGGCTCCATCCATGGCAGCTGTAGCATCTGAACTTTATCAGTGAAAAGTGATGTAAAAGTCCTCCAGCAAGGGAGTGATTATTGTTACTTTGAAGTAATTTACTGCCCAGCCTCCTCTAAGCTTGCTAATTAACTGATCATTTAGATCTGGGGTCTTTCTTTAGAGGTGGCAGTAGCTAAAAATGAATTTATAAACACCTTCCAGCTGCTTATAAATAGGTGGTAGCTGCCCTAAGGAAAAGAACTGACCACAGCTCAGCAGAGACTGTGTTTTGCTGGACTCTTGATCTGGGTGTCTCTCAAGGCTCAGCTACACCAGGAGCTGATTTTAACAGCAGATTCTACCAAAACCAGCACCTGCTTCCCTGCAGCCTGGGGCTTATAGTGCCTGGGCCCTGTGCAGGTGTTCATTTGTCCTTTTCAGCAGAAAAATGGCAATGACCTGCCCTGGTCTTCTGGGAATCACTTGTAATACTGAATTTTGCCACGGATTTTAAGGGAGCTGGGCCTTGTGAGGACACATCCAGCTCAGTCTGATGGGCACCAGATGGGAGGATGTCATAGACCAGAATGGAAAGAGGAGGCAGATTATTGGATGGTTGTGTTGCCACACAGGCAATAAAAGCTATTTAAAACTTACTCACTCCTGATCTGAACAGTTTGAAAGTGGTGAATCACAGAGCAGGAGGGTGCTCATAGGTGGCTTCCCATGTCTAATGCAAACACTGAAGGAAATCCAGCTCTGGCCTTTGCCTTTTGTACTCCAAGACATTGATAAAGCTTGTGTGTAACCCAACTGCACAAGCTCCCAGATACTGTGTACCCTAATTGGAGGAGAAATTCAGGCTTCTCCCTGCTACCTTTAAACTCTCTGGAGCAAATCAGGTGCCTGGGAAGGAGCATCAGCACAGAAATGCAGCCTGGCCTGAGGACGGTGCACGAGCTGAGGTCAGTGATGCTGCAGCAGTTCTGTGCTCACTGACCCCACTGCCTCAACACCCAGCATGTCCCACCACTGTGCACACAAACATCTATTTCCTGGCTGCACAAGAAAGCAGTTTTTAAATAGAATTCAGGCCGTGCATCTTACAGTTGTAAAAATACCACAGGAACAAAGGAAGTACCCTGTTACTGATTTTGTACTAAAGTGTTTCCCCCCCTCCCTCAGCTCCATCTCCACAGGTTAAAAAGTACCACAAATAACATGGAATTGTTATTTGCACAGACAGCTGGAAGGGATGGAGCTGGAGCTGCCCACCCACAGTGTAATGTTCCGCTGCAGGATTCTCCGTGCCCTGGAATCCAGCCCCTGGAATCACCCCGTGAGGACACACTGCTCGGCCAGGGCAGGGCAGCCCTCGTACTCCTCCAGGTGAGGGTCATCCAGGTCCCCCCTGTCACTGTGCTGGGAGGAGGGTGGGTGGCCCCAGGGGGGCCCTGTGCTCCTCACACACACGCAGTGACTCCCCTTGGAGCCAGGGCGGTACAGCTTCCGAGGGACTCCGGCCCAGGCTCTGCTCACTCCCCCACTGGGAAGGGAAAAGGAAAATAAATTACAAGTCAAACCCATGGAAATGCTTCCAGTGCATAGAGAATCATTAGAAAAAAAAAAAACCCAAGGCAATCTGGGGGAATTAGAACGAACAATATACCCCACTGAGGTCGACTTTGCTCCCAGCAGCCCCCATCCCACAGCTCTGTGATACCTTTTTTACTGGCTGTGCTTCAGAAACCCGAGGCCTGAACCTGGTTTCATCACTGCTGCTACACACTCCCACCCTTCTGGGAGCGACCAACTTCTGTGTCCCACATTTCCACTGCCGGAAAAGGAATCACAGCCCTGTGTAACACAGCAAAGTGCCTTTTCTGGAGGTACCTCATTGCTCACAGGTGACCACACGTCATCACAGAGTGGTTTGGGTTGGAAGGGACCTCAAAGATCATCCAATCCACCCCTTGCCATGAGCAGGGACACCTTCCACTAAACCAGGCTTCCCCAGCTAATTCACTGTGTCTCTACACCTTTAAATGTCTATTCCTAGGCCCAATCCTGCCTGTTCCCCCAACCACATCAGCTTTTAAACCTGTAAACTCTTACACCAGTCCCAAGGCTGCACCCAAGCTCA